TCTCTCTCTCTCTCTCTCTCTCTCTCTCTCTCTCTCTCTCTCTTTCTCTCTCTCTCTCTCCCTCTTTCTCTCTTTCTCTCTCTCTCTCTCCTTCTCTCTCTCTCCCTCTCTCTCTCTCCCTCTCTTCTCTCCCGGGATTTGATTTGATTTGTCTCCGCCCTTAGACCGCGTCGACGCCATTCGGACAGCAGCACCAAGACGCCGCCAATGTCCATCTGGCGCTGCTACTAGCTCTGGACGACGTGTGAGGCATACATGCAGAAGTTTGTCATCTATTAGCTGCCTGTCACCCCTCTGGGTTGTTGTCGTTTTTATGGAGTGTTTTTGTAGACACCACATCACTCGATTTGGGACGGACTGCTTTCCCACAGGAGTAGGGTTCATCCCCACCCTGAAGAAGGACGTGGAGAAACACAACAAGCGTCGACGGCAGTCGCCGAGAACGGTACCGTCGACTACTGCTGTGTATGCATACGCCGATCAAGCAACACGGTCCTCCCCAGTGCAGCCTTCCCCAACTACAGAGGTTCAACCCAGCAGCGTCGCGCTGCTACTGCCGCCCTAGATCGCGTGCTGTATTGCCGTAGTACACTAAACTTGTGCAAGAGACCAAATTTCCTGAGAGGTACATAGGGGCAGCTCGACGAAGGCACAAGAGCGTACAAAACCTCGTGCCCAAAAAACTGCGGCAACAACACCGCCACCACCACCACCGACAACGACACCATTGCTCATCTTTGCTCTGCCTGGCGCCTCTGTCCTCCCGCAGGAACAACGCGCGGCACCTGTGGAGACGGCTTCCCGCGGCAGGTAAAGCGGCGGGAGGCGAGACGGCCGCACTTTGGGAAGTGGGCAAGTCCCTGTGGAAGCGGTGAGATGTTCGAGAGGTGTCGCACAGGGGCAAAGGGGGTGTAGTTTTACGCAGTTGTTTCGGTTCGTTTTTTTTTTTTTCCCGTAACACAAACACGTGGCTTTCGAGACGGATCACCGTCGTTCGTGTTACGATTATATTATTTTCGTGATAATGTTGCTTTCAGCGTGTTTGCCAACATTTTTTTCGGGGGGAAGTTTTTTCCAAGTCTTTTCGTACCCTGTTGTGTCGGGGATGCCGACTAGTCACCATCCGAGGGGGCTGGGGACCGACGAGACGTGCGGATAATCCGGCGACAAAGGAGGCGTTCATCCACGAAAGGGGACCGGGTGCGGGCAGAAGACAATTGGGAGGGCGCGGGCGGAGACGTGGTTGATTTAGAGTGACTCGTGTTCCCAACTCGTAAGCCTGAGACGGACTGCAGGTGGGGTGGGGCTGTAGGCTCTTCTGCTCTTCGGAAAAAGCTGACGTCGTTCTTTCACTGCATCACGACGTTAGCATTCGCGATCCCCGTGTCGCTTTTCTGCATTCGTCCTGCTCATTTTCGGTTGACTCAATTCTCAATGCATGCCGCCGCCTCTGTTTTTTATATTTTGCATTGGAACCCCCGAATGCTGTTCACTGGTGTTATTTGCGATCCGACGACGAGCTGCTGCTGCTGCTGCTGCTGCTGCTGCTGCTGTTGCTACCGCTGCTGCCGCAAATCCCACGACGACGGGCCCGCGAACGAAAAAAAGGGACATGAGCTTCGCCCAGGCCGCCTTGAGGGGTCGGGAGTGGAGCGCCCCGCTGGCCCCGTACGTGGCTCTCATAGGAACCCGAGTCAGGGAGAGGCAGCTCGCCATCATCCCCAAGGCCTTCACGATGCTCCCGCTGGAGAGCGTGGCGGGCATGTTGGCCTGCAGCGTGGAGGACGCAGAGAAAGGTGAGGAAGATGACCGATTGGTCATGACCCATTGGTCCTCATAAGAGTGGACTGTTTTTTGTTGCGAGTCCGTCCGCCGACCTGCCGCGCGGAGCGTGGATTGGGGTGGGGTGGATCACGTCCGTCATGGTTTCGACAGTTTGGTGCAACTATTTATCTCTTGGGCATCAAACACGATTGAAGCGTTATTTGAGGAGCTTTTCACGACGATTCGTGTATGAGAACAAGTTAACAGTATGTACCCACAAGATCTTGATCTTGACGAGATACAGCCATCGGGTCACGCGCGCATGTTAGTTTGTCACGTGTATACGAAGGTCAGCTTTTAGTTGTTGTGGCTCAGTATCTCGGGAGAGACCCCCACGTGGCGTACCCACGAGGCGAAAAGTATTGCACATGGCAGACGACGATTCCAGGCTCTTATGTCTTGACTTTTTTTTTCCTTCGGTCGAGCTGTCCAACTCGTGTCGTGTGCACCGTTGCTGGAGTGTGCGTATCTCCTTTGTTTTTATCGCGGGGACGGCAGTTTGATAAGTATGCGTGTTGTCCGAAACAATGATTTGAACGGGCTGGGGTGACTGACGAGTCCAGCGTAAGGGGGCGATTTTCCTAAGCGAGGGAGTTCGACATGATATGAAATGCAGGCGGCGGTACTTTCAGCAGCGGGAGGGTTCAACAATTCGGCGCGACTCAGTTGTGTTTCGTAGGGAATGCACGGGTGTAGGCGCGAGCGACATAAGGGGGACCTCTGGAAAGACGTCAGACGTTTGTTGACGTCCTCACGCCGACGCTGTTTGGAACGCCTTGCCTTTCGCCTCGTCTCGACGAAACTGAACTCAACATTTATATTTTTCCAGCCTCTTAAAACAACGCACACGCACTCGTCTTACACTAGAAACCAGCCCTCCTTCAACCAAGCACCCGAGCACCTTCCTCATGGCGATACGCGCTTGCTTTTAGTGCAACGGCCGGCCTTTGATGTCCACAACCCGACTTGCTCCTCCTGCTTCAGAGGCCAGGCAGTCTGGACGTAAATCTGTAAGGCCTGGATCACACTCAAATGGCAACGAGCACCCCCCCAACAGCCCGATACATCGCTCCGTTGTATATAGTCCTGATGTGATGCGGAGTCTTATGATCTAACGACTATGACATGGGTTGACATGAGTACACCCCCTCGCACACCTTCCAACTTGGTTGACTCTCAACCCGCAGCCTGCCTCAAGGAAGGGTGGGAGGTTGATACTACCGCCGTGAAGACCGTCAAGCCCTCGGTAAGGGCTGTCCCCGACGACACCATCCCTGCCGCAACGCCGGACTACCTGCAGAAGATGGCCAACCACATCGCGTTCCTCGAACGGCAAAGCCAAGGTTGAAACTGATGTTGGGGGGAGCTAGAGGGTAGATGGCGTTTTTTTTTTTTGGGGGGGGGAGGGCGAGGAGAGTTCAGGAAGGGGTGACCAAGCTGATTGTTATGGTAGATTGTTGTGATGGTGTTGGTGTTGAAGCTTGGCAGGGGGTGATGGTTGTCTCGTGTGTTCCTGTGGGTTTTATTTATAGGGCCTGTTGCTTGTTCGGGCTGTGTGAAGTTTTGGCAACGATTATCTCGGTGACATGGATGGCACGAGGAACCGAGCGACAAAGTCAGATGAGATGATGATGATACACGACGATGCGAATCGATTGAAGGCGACTTGAGGGGGGCTTGTTTGTCGAGGCACGGTGGAAGTGTGTGGTTGTGGCATCGGCGAAGGGGGACGGAGCACAATAATAGCAGTTCCACCAAGATGCTTGGATGATCAATGGTCGAGCTCTGGTGGGAACCGTCGACGTTTGCCCTGCTTTCGGAGTGTTTTCCCTCTGCTGTATATTCATTTCCCCTTCCTTCTCGCGGCGGCCTCGGTGTTTGTAGAATATGTGCATGTCCTGGCGTAGGTGTGATGATTGTCTGTAGTGAGGGTCTGGCGATATAGTTTTTCTTTTTTCGGAGCTGTGGGGGACGCCATGGCACTTGTTACGGACATACTCGTGAGACTGCCACTTTGCGTTCACTGCTCGGTGCACGTGTTGCCCGTGCCCATACTGTCCCGAAAGGCTGTCTCCGTGCACCAAGCGATTACTGGTAGCTTGCATGTGTTCCACCTATTGTGCACATGAAGTGGGCGAGGAGAGGAGTCGTCGTAATTGCCGTGTATCGTACGATATAATGTGTTGTGTGCAAAAGCAATATTACGGTGGAACACAATAATCAAGACCAAATTGGGCACTTCGCGTTCTCTCTCAAAAAAAAAAAAATCTGTCAAAATGCTCTCTCCCGCGAGGTTGATAGAAAAACACACACTCTTTTGCAACTTTTGCACGCAATAATTGAGCAACACACACACTGGGTGGATTCAACAGAAAGCCTGTTACATCAGCTGTCGAATGGCGCTGGTTTCATGGCCAT